TGGTTTTATAATTTCCTCGACAATTTCCTCTGTTGGTCCTTCAGTCACTGTTGTTTCGGGTTTCTTTCCATGCTCCTCAACCGTTACTACTTCCGTCACTTGTTGTTCTTTACCTCTTCGTTTAATTATCTTCTTCTTGGTAACCTTTTTCGGTTTTCCTTCTCTCGTGATTTCTTCAGTAACTGTCACTTGTTCTCTGACTTCTTCTACTTCAGTTGGTGTAATACGTTCGGGAGCGGGCAATGGTTTTATTGTTTCCTCGACAACTTCCTCTATTGGTCCTTCAGTTATTGTAGTAACAGGTGTTTTATCCTGTTCTTCGACTGTAACCACTTCTGTCACTTGTTGCTTCTGTCCCTTTCGCTTTGTGATCTTCTTCCTTGTAGTCTTTTTTGGTTTACCCCACCTGGTTACTTCTTCCGTAATTGTAACTTGTTCTTTAACTTCTTCAACTTCTGATGGTTTAGCATACGCTGATGCAGGCAAACGTTTCATAATCTCTTCGACTATTTCTTCCACTGGTCCTTCAATGACACTGGTCTCCGGAGCTTTCCCTTCTTCTTCGACTGTCACTACTTCAGTCACCTGTTGCTCCTTGCCATCCCTCTTAATTACCTTTTTCTTGGTAACCTTCTTAGGTTTTCCTTCTTTTGATACTTCTTCTGTCACCGTTACTTGTTCTTCCACTTGTTGCACCGTGGGTATAATATACTCTACTGGTGCCAATGGTTTTGTTTCCTCCTCTGGTATTTGTTCTTCTACTGGCTTCTCCTTTTTAATTTCTCTTTCAATCGTTTCTATCATCTCCGTAGGTTTTGTTATCACCGTTGTTACAGGTGCTTTGCCTTCCTCTTCCACCGTCGTTTCTTCGGTAACTTTTTGAGTTCTTCCTTTCTGACGTATAATCTTCTTCGTTACTTTCTTTGTTTTATCAGTATCTTGAACTTGAATTATTTCAACTTCTACTTTCTCCTCTTCCTTCTGAGTTTCCTCAACCTCGTCGATTCTTGTAGGTATTATCTCTTCAACATCCATAGTTGTTGTAATCTCTTCAATAGGCATAAATTGTTTCTTCGGTATCGATGGTATCTGTGGTTTAATATCTTCAAGTTCCTCTTCAATGACAACGACATTATCTTCTTCAGCTTCTGTTTTAGGCTTTTTCTTACGAATAATCGTTTTCTTAGTCTTAACCGCCGCTGTTTCATCCTCTTTACTTCCGCGCCTGAATTTCGTTGTATATTCTTCAATTACTTCTGTGTCTGATTCGATCAATTGCTGTGGCGTATCGTGTTTTGTGTGTTGTGTGATTGTGATGTGATGTTGTTGCGCTGGTACTTCTGTAGTTTCTGAAATGTATACAAGAACAAGTGTGATATGATTATCGTGTCGTGACAGTAATCGTTCGCGCACTATTTTGCTTTTCTTTTACTTTTTTTTTGGTTTGACTTCTCACATATAACCGCGATACTTCACCGAAAGCGTATTCGGGGCTTGGGTTGGTTAGTTTGTATTGTTTGTGTCTCGAATCATCGATTTCGTAACACAAAACACTAAACGCGACGTATAAACCTGTTTCGGATGAAATTCTTGTATTTTGTCTGATGAATGAACTGTTGTGTGTTCTGTGTGATAGTAATCCGTGTTGTTTATATGAACCTTTCCATATCGTGTTTGATTCTGTGTGTTGTCTACATACCTACCTTACACGATTTCCTACAACCATTATCCTATACCTGACGACCCTATCAAACCTGCTTGGAAGACGCATTTAAACGTTTTGCGCGTTGATCGTTCTTCCGCTTCGATCGAGCCTCCCCTATGATCTCTCAACAACCAAATCAATATAACCACTATTGTCAATGCGTCTTCTGGTCCAATGCTAATCGTCCACATGCTCGTCCGTCCCGTCGATGCCAATCGAATACCTTGATAACAATAATACTCACCCATAACGTGTTCCAGGTGTTCTGCCTCGATAGTAACGCTCGCTAACTTCGCGAAAGGTAATACAGACTCGGGCATTTCTGACTCAATCTCACCAGAGCTCAATGGTTCTGTTACGATCACACCTTGTTGAATCTCCTCTACACCTTTGGCTGTCTTTTTCTCTGGTCTAGTTACTTTAAATTCGCCAGCTGCGTCAGCTGGCTGAATTTCAGTTTTCACAGCTACTTCGTGTTTAATCACATCAGGTTGAGCTGAAACTTCTTTAGCAACGCCTTTTATGACTTCCTTTGACTCTTGTTCCGTGGCCGTCACTTGAGTTATTTCGACACTCTCAGACACACGGAACGACATCTCTGCTGTAGCTGACTTAGCTGTTTTTTCTACGATAAACGTATCTTCGCTTTCTTGGGTTATTGGCTGTATTTGTTCTATACTTTCGAATGGAATTTGTTCAGGAACTATTTGTTTAGTATCTGGTTTGGTAGTTTCTTGTAACTCTTCAGCTATAACTGATGTAATTACTTGGGATTTCTGAGCAACCTGGATACCTAGTAGACTAGGTTTGACTGTTTGAGTGGTAGGTTCGTCAGGAGTTGGAAGACCCTGCTCTGCTTCACCAAACGCGACTTCTGATACTGATAGGGAAAGCAACTCTTCTAATTGAGGTTTTCCTTTTTGTTCTTCCGGTGCTTTTGGTTTATGAAGTTCTTGAGCACTGGTCATAGTTAATATTTCCGAGGTCTCTGCGACTTCAATACTATCTAACTGTGGATGCGCCTTGCGTTCTTTAGGAGCTTCTGGAGCTGGTAATTCCTTCTCAGCTTCTGTCGATACCACTTCTGAAACAGTGAGGAAGCTGAGCTCTTCCACATCTGGTTTACCCTTCTGACTCTCAGGCTTATCCAACTTCTGCAACTCTTCGACATTCGTCACAGTTAAGACTTCGGTTTTCTCAGCTACCTCTCTGCCAGTCATCTGTGGCTGAGCAATCTTCTCACTCGGTTTTTCGGGAGATGGCAGAGTATCCTCCAATTCACTAGACATTACTTGAGAAACTGTTATAGACGTAAGTTCGTCCAATCGTGGTTTTACTTTTTGTCCTTCAGGTAATATGTGCTTTTCTAATTCTTCTACATTCGTTACAGTAAGAATTTGACTAGTCTCGGCGACTTCTCTCCCCGTAAAAGCAGGCTTAGCAGTCGCTGTGCTAGGTGCTACTTGTTTCTCTAACGTCTCTTCAGTCTCGTGCGAGACAGTCTGAGAAACTGTAACAGAAGTCAGTTCTTCTACATTTGGTTTTCCTTTCTGTTGTTCCGGTGCATGCTCAGCTATTAGTTCCTCCGCTGCCATCATAGTCAAAATTTGTGTGGTTTCTGCTACATCACGACCTAGTAAACTCGGCTGTGCCATTTTTTCTGTAGGCACTTCAGGACTAGGTAACAAGTCCTCCATCTCAGTAGAAACTGTCTGTGATATTGACAGAGACACAAATTCTTCCAAACCAGGAACTCCTTTCTGTTCTCCAGGCTTCTTATCTTCAGCCAACGTATCAACATTCGCCATAGTCAAAATTTCCATCGTCTGTGCCACGTCTCTGCCTATCATGCTTGGCTGTGCCTCCCTTTCAACTGGAATTTCCGGCGCAGGCAAAGCTTCCTCTGCTTCTTGAGAAACCACCTGTGAAACTGTCAAAGGAGATAATTCTTCAACTTGCGGTTTTCCTTTTTGTTCTTCTGGTGCTTTGGGTGCTACAAGTTCCTCTGCACTGGCAACAGTCAACACCTGCATAGTTTCTGCTACGTCTCTTCCTATTAGACTAGGCTGAGCTGTCTTCTCTTTTGGAACTTCCGCTGTTGGTAGTGTTTCCTCAGCTTCTTCAGATACAACATGAGAAATTGTAAGTGGAGTCAGTTCGTCCAATTTTGGTTTTCCTTTCTGTTCTTCAGGACGTTTCACTGCAAGTTCTTCAGCTTCGGTTATGGTGGTCACTTGAGATGTTTCTGCAGCTTCTCGGCCTAGTATGTTGAACTCCGCCTTCTGATCTTTAGGCATAAACTTAGTAGTGAATATGTCCTCCGTTTCGTTGGAAATTACTTCAGAAATCGTTACTGAAGACAATTCTTCTACTTCCATTTTACCTTGTTGTTCCTTCAATTGAGTTATTTTTTCGAATTCTTCAGTGGTTGCTCCAGTGACTATCTGCGTTACTTCAGGAACTTCTCTGCCAGTTAAACTAGGCTGAGCTTGCTGCCCTTTAGGTGCAACAGTTGCAGGCAAAATATCTTCAATTTCATTAGAAACTACTTCAGTAACTGTAACAGTGGTAAGTCCTTCCATCTGAGGTTTTCCTTTTTGTTCTTCAGGTTTGAATTTCCCTTCAAACGTCTCTTCGCGTTCACCAGTCGTCGTCTCCATCTTAACAGCTGTCTCTATGACAGTTTGTGTCATCGTGGCTTGAGAAGATACTCGTTTCTCTTCGTGGATCTCCTGAGTGCTCTGAATACTCTCCACTAACGATCCAACTACAGTTTCATGAAGACTGATATCTTGAGTGGCTATAACTCCTTCTCTTTTAGGTGCTACATCAAAGACACTCTCTTTGTCTTCTGTAATAGTCTCCGAAATTTGAAGAGGCGTCATTTTCTGTATATCTATATCTGCTTTCTGAGTTTGAGGTTTGAACACGCCTTCGAACGAACGTTCACTTTCTTCAACTATATTCTGACTCACGATGATACTTTCAAACGTGTCTTGTCCAGGAACAGCTACTTGAGGTTGCATGGTAATATCCTTTACTTTATCTGGCATATTAACTTGAGACTCAACGGTAGTGGTCTCGATAATATTACGTTCTGTGATGATTGTACTACTAGCTGTCTGAGCAGCTTCCAATTTCTTCTCCTTCAATAGAGACTCAACCTCAGCTGATGTCACTTCTGTCACAGAAATTCCGTGACCTTCCTCAAACATGGGCACTGCAATCGACGAAATTGTTTTTGGATATTTATCAAATATTCCTTCGCTCTCTACGCTTGGAATATCTTCAATAATTATAGGTTCTAAAGCATCTTGTTTAGGATGAGCTTTGACCTCGCGTTTCTCTAAGGGCTGAACAGCACCAGTGCTCTGTTCGACAAATACCTGAGCCTTCTGCGCCACGTCCATTCCAACCTTCGTCAAAGTAACCTCTGCAGTGCTCTCTTCACGTTTTTGTATGGTCATAGAGTCTTCCTTATCCTGAGTGATTACATGAGAAACTGTGACACTCTTTCCTTCCACGAAGCTCACTTTCGCGCTATGTTCATCCAACTTCATCTTCTCCTCGAATATCGCACTATGTTCTTGCGGAACTGTTTCACTAATATCAACGCTCTCCAGCATAGTTTGAATAGAATGAGCTTCAAAAGTCGTCGGTTTTGGTGCTTCAGGAAGATCTCCAAGTCCCTCTCTAAGATTTACTTCCATCTGTTCAGCGACTTCTTTGCCTTCCATCGCTGGTTTTGCTACTTCCTCGCGAGGTTTCTTCATAGCTGACAGTTCTACTTCACCATCTTGAGCTGTAGTTGCCTCTGTTATAGCAATAAACCTGTTCTCATCTATTGTTACACGTGCACTAGTCTTCTGCATCGATATTTCCTCAACCTTATCTATTTCTTTTTCTGCTAGGATTTGTTCCGTCATTTCGATTGTTTCGAATGGTTTCTGGCCTACTTGTGCTGTTGCTGTGATAGGTTTGACAATGTCCACATCTCCAGTACTTATCTGTGGAATAACCTCTGATCCTTCCGCCACTTCATGTCCGGATACAATACCTGGCACTGCCGATCGTGTTTTCTCTTCTTGAACAGATTTTAATATCTCTTCCTTATCAGCTGCGCTGACTTCAGTCACAGTAGTCACGCGTTTACCTTCTTCGATAGAGACTTCTACCTTCTGAACTTCTGGCTTGAATTTTCCTTCGAAAATATTTTCTTGATCTTGAACGATATCTTGAGTGACTTGTACACTTTGATATACTTCTTGACTGGGAAGTGCCTTTTTAGTATCTGGTTTCTCTACCTTTACTTCTGCTATTGAATCTTCAACAGAAATAGTAGTAGTTTCAGCAATTGCATGAGTGGTGTCTAATCCAACAGAAGCTGCATGTTTGGATGGTTGTTCTTCAGAAATATATAAAGATTCTTTATCTGCAGGAGTTACTTGAGATACACTCACGATCTTTCTACCTTCTTCAAGATCTACAACAGCTCTCTTATTTTCTGGTAATTGTCCTGGTATAAATTTGTCTTCACTTTCTTGAACAATAGTCTGAGACTCAATTAATGAAGTAAATGGAACATGTTCTGGCATTGCAGTGGCACCTGATGGTTTCTCCTCAACAAATTCGCCTGTGCTAAAATCTACAACTTGCACAGTTGTTTCTGCGACTACGTGACCAGAAATCAAACTCTTTCCAGCTGTCTTCATCTCTGGAAGCTCTTTAGACTTATATTCTTCCTCTTTATCTTCCAAAACCACGGTTGACACCTGTATACTCTGTTCTTCCACTAGAGACATGTCAGCCAGAGCTTGTAATGGCGCTTTATCCTTATTAAACAATCCTTCAGCTTCAGTTGGTTGTGTTTCTGAGCTAATTATAGCTTCCAGAGGAATACTAGATGGCATTGCTGCGGCTGAAACTGGTTTCACCTCTTCCAATTTTCCAGCACTAGAATCTACAGTCACCTCCGTCTTCTCAGCGATCACGTGACCAGCAAACTGAACACTAGCCTGTTTTTCAGTCGGTTTCTCAGGAATTTTGAGAATATCTTCTTTATCAGCTGGAATTTCAGTAGTGGTAGTGGCACTGATGATTTCATTGATAGATATTTCTGCTTTGTTGGTGATTACAGGTTTGTCCATGAATTCTTTCTCAGTCTCAGACACAACCGTCTCAGTTTGAACGATGCTTTCAAATGGCAATCGTTCTTCTTTAGCTGCGACTGTGGTTGGTGCAGGCACAGTTAAGTCTCCAGAAACAGCAGCTGGATTGATCTCTGTCAGCTGAGCCACTTTATGAGCATCGAAACTAGGTACAGCTTGTTTACCATGGATCTCTAGCTTCTCGAAGTATTCCTTCTCCATATCTGAAGCAATGGTCTCAATTACTGTGATTCCTTCTTCTTCCTGGAATGAAATATCTACTACTTTTTTATCTGGTTGTACGAAGTCTTCCATAGGCTTTTCTAGATCACCAGCAGCCGTCTCAGAAGCAATTAAACTGTGGAAAGTAATATGATCTGTTGTAGCTGTTGCCGTAAGAGCCTCTTTGCGTTCAAATTCGCCCACATTATCTGTCGTAGTGGTCTCACTAGTCTGAGCGACAATATGTGTGGGGATATCGAAGCTAGCTGTCTTGGTCTCTGGTTTCTCACCTTCTGGTAGCAGACTCTCTTTATCTTCAGTAGTAACTGCTGAAACAATTAAACCTTCTCCTGTCACGAATTCAAGATTCGCTTTCTTATCAGAGGGTTTAATCTCACTGAATGGTGCTTCTGTCTCTCTGGTCTGTACTTCTTCGGCAATTGCAGCTTCGATAGGTAATATCGTGGTTTTTGGTTTCATTTCTTGAACCGCTTCATGTGGTAGATCACTTAAACTTGTGTCACTAAGGATTTCCAATTTGGATGCTACACCTTGCGTGTCGATGTCTACGGTAGCTTCTACGCCTCTAGGTTTTTCTTCTCGAGTGAATATTCCCTCTTTGTCTTCTGGATACGTTATACCTACCACGATACCTTGACCTTCTTCAAAAGTGACTTCAATTTTCTTAGTATCAGGTTTTATATCTTCTTGGAGAGGCGACTCTTTCTCAGAAATAGATATCTCTGTCTGTTCAACGACTTCCAATCCGCTCTGTTGTTGACTAGCATGTTCTTCCTTTGTCTTGTCTTCTTTCAGAATATCTACATTGCTCGCAAGAACTGTCTCTTGTAACTCAGCAACCTCGTGTCCTCCAGTGATTCCTAATGTAACTTTTCTTTCTTTTGGTATCTCTTCCACTTCCAACTTTTCTTCTTCCTGGACACTGGTTATCTCAGTGACTGTTAATTTCTCAGTCTTCATCTGAATTTCAACCTCAGCACTCTGAGTAGTTGGCAAAACATCTGCTTCTCTCGTTTTCTCTGTTTCAGCAATAGTTGTCTCTGTGATAACCAATTCTTCCAAAGCATCTCTTTGTGGAATAGCCTTTCCAGATTTAGGCGTGTCAATACTCATATCAGCGGTGCTTTGCTCCACTAAAGTTTCTGATTTTAATGCAACTGTGTGACCGGACACCAATGTCTGAGCAGTATAATCCTGTGGCTTCACGTCAGGACTGTAAACATTCTCACGATCGTGGGGAATAACCTCTAAGACAGTTGGGCCAGGTCTGGGTTCAGTCAATTCCACAATTGCAGTCTTCTGGTCTGGCTGTACGTCAGTTTTATACAAATCTTCTTTCTCTGCTAACTGCTGCATGGCTACAGTTACGCTCTCTAGTGGAACATGTGATGGTTGAGCTACACCAGAAGCTGGCTTCTCTTCAGGCACGTATTCTCCAGTTGGTGAATGAGTTCTGACTTCTTCGAACACTGGTGCGACTTGTGTAGTAAATTCTGTGCTAGCATAAGCTCCCTTAATCTCAGATACTTGTGTATATTCAGCTTCTCTCTCGCTAGCGATTACCATAGTAGTATGAACGCCTTCTATTTCGTTCATTGTAACTTCAGCCGTCTTTGATTCGGGTGCTTTGTCTTTTTCAACCGGTGCTACGTCTTCTGCCGCAATAGTCTCTCGCACTACAGTCTCTTGTAATCCAATGGGTTCTATTTTAGCCATGCCAGAAGATGGAACTTCTTTCTTGATAACACCTAGATTATCTTCTGGTTGAATCATCTCAACCTCTAACGAAACAACAGGATGAGTAGGTACTGTCTTGCCACGATGAGATTCTGGCATTTCGAAGATTTTAAGATCAGCTTCCTTTTCTATAGACGTAGTCTGGAACACTTCAACGCTTCTAATGGCGTCGTAACTAGTTTCTACTATACGTTCTTCGGGTTTGACTATTTCATCCATTTTTGCCTCACGATCGTGAGTCATGGTTTCTTGGACCATCTTAGCCTCTGTCAACTGCACAGCCACGGTTCCACTTTCTTGCACGTATTTCAATTCTTCCTTGAAATCTGACGGATAATCTGCTGTCTGGATTTCTGATACCATCACATGTTCTTCAGGTCTGATAGAAGTCTCCGCTAATACTTTCGTAGGCTTCTGATCTGGATGATAAATACCCTCGGACTCCTGAATAAGTGTACTCGTGATAGATCCAATTTCTAATGGAGATATTGATGTCTCTGCTGTCTTGGTAGTTGGTTTGTCTCCTGGTTGATACTCTTTCTCTTTCTCAGACGGGACAGTCTCCACTGTTACAGCTGATGTAATCTCGACTACATTTAAATCAGCAACAGCCTTCTTCATCTCTTCGATTGTCAAATGAGTCTCTGTGTCTTGCGTTTGAACCGTAGATACAGAAACTCCTTCTAACAGAGTTACATTTGGAGTAGCCTCGAATGTATCAGTTTTCCTTTCAGAAATAAACACTCCCTCACTTTCCTGAACAACATTCTGTTGGATAATTGCTGTTTCGTTTCCATAAGATATTCCAACTTGTGCTTTCTGACTAGGTGGTAATCTACCTGGAACATATTCACCTTCCTTCTCAGGAGCGTGCATTTCTTCTGTGACTCGTTGACGTTGCGGAATAACAGTTTCTGTGGCGACTTCTGTAGGAACTACCAGTTCTGGGTAATACTTTCCTGGTTTATCTTCCGCTCGAATTTCTTCGACAACCAATGGTTCAACTGCTGTCACGTTTATTCTGGGTTTAGTTGGTACAGTCTTTAATGGTTCTAATTTGTCTTCTGACAATCCTTCTTGAACTTCATAGACTGATAAGCCTACTTGAGGCAGAATAGTGTCTTCTGCTTTGACTGTCAATGGCGACACAAAATCTTCTGTTGGAGCTTCCTTTTGACTTACCATGGTTTCATACACAGTAGTAGCTTCTTGAAGAGTCACGCTAACGTCTGCAGTTCTACTGACTTCTTGTTTGTCTATAGTTAAAGTGGATAGATTAGCATCGTTGGTCAAGGTCTCACTGACAATTAAACCTTCCGATGGAACGAAAGCTGGTGTTGCCTCGTAGGATGTAGGTTTGAAGGTATCAGAAAATTCGCCAGTGGATGCTTGAATTGTTGTTTCTGTTGTAGAATAAGGTTCTACAGGTGAAATAGACAAGGAAGCTTTACGTTCAATGGGCCTAATTTGAGTTATATCGTCGATTTCTTTTTCCTGAACGGGGACCAGTTGCTCGGTTAATGGGGTAATAGTGTCCATAGTTAATTTAGCTTTCTCTAATTCTGGCTTTCCAGGTGCTTGTTCGATAGTACGATCCAAAGGTACTATTTGATGTCTTTGGCTAGAAACGTTTAACATGATCGAAGGCATTGATTTATCTTTTGTCACTTCGAATTCCTCGATTTCTTCCAGCTCAACCTCGTCTTTTCCAATCTTAGGTCGTTTGGGTTTCAATTCTTTTCTTACTTTTTCTATTATTTCTTCTTCTTCCTCTACAACCTGTTTCTCTAAATCATCGCGTTTCTTTTGTTTTTGAGCCATCCTGCCCTTCGAGTCTGTTTCAATAACGATCGTTTCGACTTCTTCCTCAATTTCTTCCACATCCTTTTTCTTCTTCTTCTTCTTTTCAGTCTCTTCGATCTCCTCGATTTCTACAACTTGAACCCCCTCGTCCCTATCTTCCTTTCTCTCCTCGATTTGTTCCTTTGGTTTTGTTACTTTTCGTTCGTGCAGTGTCGTGTATGCCTGCCGTGTGTCCTCGTATTCTGTGGAAAGTATGTGAGAATATTCGTGTCAATCATAAACGCGGACATGTTCGGTCTTTCTCTCACGTTAAGCCTTTCGCTCAGTTCGTTCGTTCGCACGCTCTCACTTTCCCGAGTTAGGCGACAAAATTTCATTCTCGTAATTTTTTTTACATTTGTTTGTTTTACTGTTTTGCAGACTTCATGCGACGAACCATAGAATATGCGGATGCTGCTTGCTCAGACAACGTGCTTCAATACGATACAGGAGTGAGACAAAACCTACATACGTATAGTGCACGGAATTTGTGTGAAGGTAAGAGAAAATAAATCAAAAGAAAATAATAGAAAGAGAAAGTAAAAGAAAAGGAAAAAATAAGAAAAATTGGAATATAGCGGATAGTGTGTGAACAGCGTATTCTATTTTACTCTACGCGGCTTCCAAAGGTATCGTATAGTTTTATTTCATTGTGCTCTTAACGAGAATACGAAACGTTGACCCTTTCAGGACGAGAATGTTAAAATATCAGAGGTACAAAGGAACGATAGAAGTTTTCTCGATTTTGTCTATTTCGATGTAATATTTTCAAATTTTTTAGAGGTACTTTTAATATTTACAACAAATGGATTCAAATAAGATGAAACATTGAGGTAGTAGAGAATACTTACTACAAATGTATGAGTTATCAATCTCAAGTATAATATAATAAATTATGACATTTGTAATATTATAAAAATATTATCGGTACGCATTCTTCGTAAATTTATAACAAAAATAGAAGAGGTGGAAGTTTCTTTATCTCTTTATACAATACCTTCAATAGATTTTGTATTAGATAGATTTTGAATTATGAGTTATTGAATAGATTTTGAATTATGCCATGGCATTTCGTAACGAGGAAGCTATGAATATATTTACATTGATAACTATAATTTATTTACATTAGAATGAGTAAGATATTTTGAAACGAGCTTAAAAACCTACCTACCTACCTACGATGCTATTTAGTATCACCAAAATATACGAATTAAAGAATGTTATTTAATTTTTTTTGCTTACGTGATCTTATACTCTATCGGATTGCGAATTATATATTGCAATAAATTATCGTTTCGACAACCGTGTTCATAAAATATAAGAAAGTTATGTCTATATATTTATATCTCAATGGATAGAAATATATACAAACATTCATGTTTCCATCATTTTGAAAATGTATTAGGGCTATCATATTATTTAGAAAAATACTAAAAACTTCTAAAAATATTAAAAAAATATTAAAAAATCGCTGGCAACTAACAGCGTAAACACATTATATATAATTACTAGATAATTATTCTATTGCAAAGTGTGTCATCCTGAATGGGTCACAGACAGTACACCGTCGGGCAGGTAGATAATGTTCGCGATGGAAACTACTCGATCGACACAGTGTCTTTTTGTAAAGTTTCTTAAAACGGTACAGAATGGAATATTGTTTCACTGGTTGGAATTACGATGTCTCTGGAATGTTTGTTGCGGTATCTGAGAGTAGTGTGCGATGGGTAGTGCTGCTTCGCAGGCACCTGTGCTCATGCGTTGTTTAATAACAAGTGATGCGTGTGTAAATTTCGTGTAGTGGCAGTGGAAAGAGATAGTATAGGCCGGCCAGAAGTCAAACCAACATTAACACAAAAGAAAAAAAGAAAGAGAACTACAAGAGACGCTTGTCTGTTACACATCGTGCTTGCTGCCGAAAATAAAATAAAGTGGAGAAATTAAAAAGAAAATAAAAAGGCATAGAAGGTAAATCTTTTGTCTAATCGCTAATCATTTTGTATGTGGGACAACGTTGTTATACAGAAAGATTCATGTGAGTGTGTAACTTGAATGTGTAACAGTAACAAGTAAAAACAGCCAATTGCATTCTAACTAACGTTGCAAATATATACTGCTACCAGTAAATATCTATTTACAAACGAATAATATAATACAGTCTATTGATGTAGAAACTATGAAATATATACAGACATGAAAATTATTATTCCTCTAAATTTCCAATACACTGAAATTTAATATCTGCGGTGATTGGATAATATTCAAAGCATCGTATACCATACAATTTTCATTGAAAATGTAATACTCGATTCATTGAAATCGAATATCTATCGACTTCAATGATCTCGTGATAATTTATTTCGCAGTTTCTCAGATGATATAACAAGGCATGAAAAAGAACATAAATGAAACGTTAAACAGAAAAATGTGGTGGAAACGATGGATCCGTTACCAAATACAAATGAAATACACGAATTGAAGCGCAAATCAAATTTTACTTACATCGAAACTGCGATTAGCAGAGCGAAGCTCAAAACGAGAAGCTTTTGGTGGTGGACGTGGTTTGGTGAAGCGGGTCAAAGATTGATATACTAATTTAGGTGATTATATTTAAGGGAATAGGAAGAATAGAATAATGAAGGGATACGGCGCGTGGAAAGCATAGCGGCATAAGCAGAACAATTTTACTGCTATTATTCGATCAAGTAAAGCTTCATGCATCTGAAAGAATAATAAAATATAATCATTACGTAAAGACCGTATCGTATGATTGATCACGCACGTGCTTTCTTTTCTTTCAATATCTTTTGGTCTACGATACGTGGTATCGATTCTATTAGTCAGCGCAAGTGAGCTTTAAATTTGAGATGAATCTTTTATTTAGTAATTAAGATGATCTTCAAGCTTGTAGCAGAATGTTTCATGAAGAATTTGGTATCCGTTCAGAATTGCCACATTCCTTTGATTTAATTAATTCCCAACTAGTGTCAATGGATCGTAGATGACTCTTAACGAAGTTAATTTCGGACAATTCCATTTTTAAATTATGTTTCCTATCTTATACGATAGAGATTTTGTATTCATCGTATTATGTAACATTGAGATATTAAATTAATTCAATTAGAATTACATATTAAATTAATATTACGTACAGTAATAAAAAATCATTCGTTAATTGATTGAATTAAACAATTACCTAAAAATTAATCTAATGTTATATGTAATAATATAAATTAAAAATGAATAATCTATCGTGTAATGGTCACCTATGATCCAATAATACTAGTTGAAGATTAAGATTCTACTACAGATAAAATTGTCTTTAGAAATCCTACATCTTCTTCATTGACCATATTCAACATACTTGAAGTGAAATAGAAACATAAAAATAAATGTAAACTCAGGCTTAGAAAATTAGCTCTGCAAGGAACTACTGAGAATTGTTTAAGATTTAAGAAAAGTACGATAAAGAATTGAAAAAAGTAGAATTGGAATGTCGATGTGGTGTCGACTGTCCGGACACTGAAATCTTTGCGTCGAAGAAATGAGAAGTAAATAATATTAATGATGCTGTCCATTCGTGAGTCGAATGGCGAATTGTACGAATGTATATCCCATGCACTGAGAACTCGTTGCTTCAAACCTTTTATGTCACGAATATCCTGCGCGCGGACGGCTTTTCTTTCGTCCCTCCTCTCTGCAATCAGAAAATCCATTCGTTTCTTTCGTGGGAACTCTGGGAAAAGGAGATCAGTACGAAGAGCAAAACACTCGAAGAAAAAAGAAAAACACACAGGGATATTATGGCACATGGCAAAAGAATCACTTTTATTTGATACTTGAAATGTACAATACATGACGTACAAAAAACGTGTGACGAAGGAAATCTTTTTGTTATTGAATTATATACAAAAAGAAAAAAAATTGAATAAAACGCATGCTTACTCGAGCTTATGTATATATGTAGTCGTGAAGCCGCGGACTATATACAAATATTAAAAACGTAAGAAAAATGTACACTCGTAAAGTGTATAGGCAGCCACGCAAGCACACACCAAAACGTAAGATGTTTAATGTATTAAGTAGAAAAAGACGATCTGCAACATCGTTTTGTAACATTGCATTGTTCGTGGTATATGAATATTTTTATGTCTCTGTTTTTTTCATATTTCAAACCTCACACCGTATTCTCCACTTACCCATGAAATGGACCTCCATTTTGTGGATCATATCTACTCGTTCCGTAACTCGTCCCTCCGTTTCAACCTGTGAAGAATTATTCTTAGTATGTTTCCAGTTCGAATTTTATATAAATCTCACAATAATCGTATATAAGTTGTCTTTTAGAAAACCTATGATATATAGCAGATATATCGATGACATAATACAAATAGATAGTAACTAAAAATTGAAGCAAAAGATAAAAAATTCCTATGGAAAGAAAACTCGACTTTTTGATCATTCTACTTCATATTTCTAACCTTGCTCCAATCCTCGAATTTAAGAAAATACTACGATTCAAGATTGAAACTCGAAATTGAATACCACAAATCAGATTCGAAAATAATTTCAATAAGTTTTTTAAAACAGACAAATACGATTGGATCAAAAATAATTCGGAGCACATAGCAGGGCTAGAAAGAAGTAGAAAATCAATCCTTACTTCCGTAGCTTCTGTAACCTCCCAAGCACGCGGCCGGAAGTCCTCAGGAGCGAAGTGCGTGAGCACTTCCTCCACGGTAACGTGTTGCAGCTCGATCATCCTCATAAAAGCACGGAAGCCAACGGTAGCGGCCACTACACTTTCGTCGGTGGTCGTTTCTTCCGTCAGAACCTGCGTGATCAATGGACCATGACCTTCTCGTTCCACTAATTGAACCAGCGCATTCTGAGCCTCGGGGGTTTTCAACGCAGGGAAATTGTCCGTCCTGTACAGACTCTCGTTTATCTCGTTCACGGAGACACCTTGGCGCACCAAGAAGCCGATAGTAGCCAATTCTCGAAGAGGAGCTTCGCCAGGTCCAAATTCTTTCGCGTGAAGCATCTCCATAATTTCCTCCACCTCTCTCGCGATATTCTCTCTTTGTCTTTCTACGATTTCCTCGATGGTCACTTCTTCTTTCACCTTTATCTTGTCTTTCTTCTTCTTTTTCGGTTTTTCCTCCGTGATTACTTCTCTGGGCTTCTCTTCGAATATTTCTTCTTCGGTTACCACTGTTTTCTTTGCTTTTCGTTGTTTGGCCTCGATTCGTTTCATCTCTTGGACACCAGCTTCAGTGTGCACCTCTGACACAGAGACGGTTTGCAAGGTTTCCGACGTGATTTTAGCGCGATCGACCACCGATTCCACTGTGAAATCTTGCGCTATGTCTTCCGTGGCCACTTCTGAGACGACCACTACACCTTCGCGCTCCTCCACCACCCGTTTCGCACGTTCCTCAGGCTTTGGTACCATTTCGCGCGCCTTCTGATCGTCGATCTTCTTCAGCGACGCGGTTGCTTCCGTCACTAGCGGCTCTTGGATCGGCACCACTTTCTTTGCTCGTGATATCTATGAAATGGAATGTTAATCTTTAATGTATGAGCAGTAATTGAACGCAAATTTATCCTTTACTAACATTTTAGTTGACTATGGAGCACAATAATTAATGGTAGCTGTTAATATTATTTATAGTGATATAATGCATTTAATATATTCGTTATTTGGTATATCTTGGATTATAACTTTCAGGTCTTTTTTATTTGAATTAAGATTGTACTTGCTAAATTATTGAAATTTAAGTACAATTCCATTAGGCGTAAATTGTTTAAAAATTTTTTACACCATCTAACGTAATTGTATATATATTTAATTGTTGTATTTACCTCTGTTGGTTGTTCTTCAATAATCTCTGTCGTTTCGAGTACCTGAGTCTCTTCAACGTCGACAATTTTCCTAAACGTAAAATTTCCATTATAATTATATCTCTTCATATATAAAACGTTTATTATTAACACATATTTAACTACTAATTCTACTGACTTTTCCTCTGGCTGTTCTTTAGGAACCAGCTTCTCTTTGCGCACTTCCTTCTTGTCTATCTTCACACGTTCAGTCTTCACCTTCTCTTTCGTCTCTTTAGCCTTCTTCAACTCTGGCTTCTTCTTTTTCGGTTTCTCCTTAGGTTTGACTTCAGTCACCTGTTCTTCGACCACCTCTTCTTCGTCAAAGAATGTTGTCTTACCCGTTACATCTGAAGGAAGAATTCGTACGATATTCCACTTTCAATTAATTATATACAAATTTTAATATAGTTAATTTTTAATTAACGGTATAAAATTATCATTAACTTTATATTTTCATGCACTACCTCCTTTAAAATTCCTTATAAATTTTCCTTCAATTTTCTCACAATATTATTTAAATGACGTTTTAAAAAACAAGTTTTTAATGTTTAAACGTGAATAACATATATATAGTCTGGTAGATTAAAAAAGAAATGGTACCTGTTACGCGTAGTTTAGCTTTCGTCGTTGCCAAACCTATCTCACTGGTAGCTTTGCACACATAAGTAGCATCGTCTTCTTCGGTCGCGTGTTTAATCGTTAGCGATGTCTTTTTCTCTTCATCGGAGATACGAACTTTCACGTTCTGGGTATTGGAGACCAACTTGTCATTCTTGTACCATACAACGTCTAAAAATGAAAAAATAATGAAATCGAATTTATAATTAACATTCTATCGAATCAGTTTGTAAATTTATATTTATTTTTGGCTGCAACAATAACATTAAAAAATAGCTAATTTTAATTTATTCCACTTTACAATGTATTTGCCATTATCTTACGAAATTCTCTTCAATCTTAATAGTAACGTTTTAATTTTAAATGATTCGTACAATTTGTGAACTGGTCTGATACGAGCATGTAAAATCTAACAACAATTGAACGATTGCAATTTCATATGTTTTTTTAAAACATATTTCCTCGTATCGGTATACGAGCTATTCAGAACTCAAATTGATCAACTCTGTTTTTTAAAAATTTCTCAATTTTAGTATCAAAGCAACTGGTATTTCCTGTTTTAAAAACAGATTGCCCTTGATTATAATCTTCTGCGTGGCTCATATAGTAATTATTTGTGATGATTATTAAAAGTTGTAAAATACCTGGAGCAGGATTGCCAGAGTATACGCATTCAAACACCGCGGTTTCACCTTCCCTCGCATAAACGTCGGTTATCTCTTGGATGAATCGTGGTACAGATTGCGTGGCTAAAACCAGGACACGTAAATTGTGATAACTATCCAATGGGAAAAAGAGAAAAGTCTATAAAACAAAAATCTTTAATAAACAGTTTACCTGATCTCTTGATTGGTGATTGTGCGACTAGCGTGACCCCGATGTCAGTAATCTGGTTAGCCGAACGAGAAAAGGACAAAACACTCGTACACAAAGAAAATCCATGCGAAACAACAATTTTATGAAAAGCATAAGAAATAATTAATCTTATTATACAAGGCGATTCGTGCAACTCAAACGAGTCATATCTCTTCGTTGATTAACATTCAAGGAAAATATTAGAAGAAAAAGAAGATATTAAAGTTTCGATATTAAAGGTAAAACATTTTTTAACTTTCAAGTTTTAAACTGATCAATTTCGGACCGTGTTATCTTAATATATTTTTATGTAGAATTTTTTTATACAAATGATTGTATCTGTGCAAAAAAATGTATGTCTTCTCAAAAAATCCCTTGAAATGATTCATCTTTTTCCTCGAGTTTTTTCTTCTAACTTTAGTCAAAAATGGACTATTGACTTGTTTCAATTGTTACGTAAATCAGCCTGTAGCTATATTGTTAGTAATTCGATCAACAAGAATACCTGACATGGTGCCTCTTTCATCCTCACTGTGATGTTCACTGCATGAAACCTCGGACGTCGACATGTTTCCAGCTAATCCAAGGTTTCCACTGCATTGACTCTCCAACAACAAAAATTCTTGCAACTCTTCTTGACTATCTGCTGTATGCAATTGTTGAAAAGCTTCCAAATCAATTTCTCTCGGTTCCAAAGGGTACATCTTTGGATCCATCATCAAGTTGCCAAAACGACGTTCTTTCGACCATCTTGCTACTGGAATTCTAGATTTTGGATAAGTATGATATTTCCTCGCGTGGTCATATTCCAACGTAGTTTCCATCATCTTTCCAGCGCCATAATGCTCGGTAGCGAATTTATTTTGCCCACTTCCGGTCGAAGCTTCGCTGTTCTCCTCGATAGGCGACAGATAGACGCCAGTTTCTGGAACGTTCAAATGTTCAGAGTGAACGTGGCTCCTTTTCTCAGTTCTCGGAGGTGGAAACTCGTCGAAGTCTAATACGATCTTCTTTTTCCTTTGCGTTCTTAATGACTCCATTTTGGACTCGTCTTTCTCTACCGATATCTTATCGATATTCTGCGTGGTTTTATTTATTGTTTCGTCATTACTAGTCGTATCAAAAGCATGAGTCTCTTCTTTCAATTTAACACTTTTGCCCAGTTTTACGGCAACTAATTTATCGGCGGATTTTATTGCTTTTGATTTTTCCAATCTCGTAGGCGAAGGAGAGTTCGATTTACCTGTTGCTTTCCTCAGTTTCTCGCTCGACGTGGATTCGTTGATCTTTGAACACTTTGCTCGGACCGGAGACGGAGATCTAGCTTTCACGGTCGTCACGATCGTTCCCCTTATTGGCGAGGTCGACTTTTCCAACGTCAAAGGCTTCGACAATTTCACCTTCTGCATATTAGAAGATTTACTCGTGCTACTTCCATCTCGTCTACTTTTCATTGAAACAGTCGTCGAAAGCGATTTCGTCTCCGCGCTCCTTTTCGTCACGGTTTTCTCCTCCAAACTCTCCGATTTCTTTTTCTTCACCACTTTACTTAACCTTTCACCTTTCATCTTTTTATCCATACTTTTTTGTTCGTATCTAATCTCGTATTTGTCATTAGATTTAGATTCACAGCTATTTTCGATATTTTGATCCAAAATCGTTCCTCTCTGAGCAATATTCATCTCCCAAGAATATTTTGTACTAGTAATCTCTTGTTCGATCTCTGTGGAGTCGGAGAATCTTCTGGACAAGAAGAATCCTTTCTGAGAAGAATCTTCCTCCTCGAAACACCTCTTACCTTCGTCGTCGATGTTCATTAGAGTTCTTGTGGAAGAGAATTCGCTGATCATCGTCGAGCTATCTCTTTGAGAACCTTCGTCCCTAATGGCGCGATCGTCCAGGCTATCCGTCGAAAAGCTGCACTCTGCTTCACTCAGCATGCAATCGATCGCCTGTGACCGACGACTCTTACCTCTCAGAGCTTCTTGCATCTCCTCCATTTCGGCCACCCATGATGGTTTCCTGTACTCCTTTGTTCCGAGGATTCCTAAGGAATCGAGGGATTATTAGCGATGTATTCGCATCTTCGACCCTTTCAGTCCCATCTTCCAAGCGACGTGATAATTCTTTTTAAGCCTTTGCATTTTAGATCAAAGCATTCTTTTCCGCTTCTTGGCTTTCGAATCATTTCGTGAAATTGTTTGCAACCTTTTTAATGGGAAAATCTGAACGCGAGAATTTTGAAAAGCACGTGTTGCAATTTGTAATTTTCAGAAGTTTGAAAATTTCGACGTTTAGAAATTTAGAGATTTGACAATTTAGACATTTAGAAGTTTAAAAGATTTGGTGATTTAGAAATTTTTTATTTTAGTATTTTTTCTTCTCTGCAATCATAAAATTAGGAAATTTCGCTACAACAGTTGTTCAAATTAATCTGCGGATTAATACCAAATTAGGAATCTCATGATCATTTTCACATAAAAATTCGAGAGCCAATGGATGGAACTCAAAGGGTCCGAGTAGCTGGCAGAACGCTAAATGAAAGAATATAAAAAAAGTGTATAAAAGTGATAGGATGTGCGTGTTCAGTGTGAGTTTTGAGACATAATATTTATGAGGGAGATACAGGGAGAGCATTGGGAGATTTTCGCTGTTGAATCCAATCGAAGAAGAGCGTAGCTGAAAAGAACTCGTATCAAGCAGATTAGCGAAGCTTCTACAACTTTCGAAAATTGCTTCTTCGTTCGGGATGAACGAATCGTTACCTTCTACAGACAGGTACGTCATCGTGGTCGATACGCCGAGTGGATTGTGAACTTCGAACACAATCTCACCCGTGTCGTCGGGATATGTTTCGGCTATCGTCAGTATCGACGTGCCATCGTCGAATTCCTCGATTTGGAATTCTTCGGACGGCATGATCTCCTGGCCTTGCTTGTACCATTTTCCTTCTGGTTTCGGTTTTCCCTTGACCTTCACTTCCAGTCTATGAAAAAGTAGAACACAGTAAAAATTGATAAAAATGATTGAAAATAGCTAAATTTGATTTAATAAAATTCTCAGCTTTATCCATAAGAAATTATCGATGGTATTAGTATAATTATTAGATATATTATACGTTATAATATACACATATTAGATATATTAGATAAATTAAATTAACCATTAGTGTTTATTCGAAAGGATCAGCTTTGTCTGACTCGAAAGTAACATTCTACTTATTGGGTTGTTAACTAAGTGATTGCGGTTTTTGTTATTACCATCTAATGATAAAATCCGTAATCACTTAGTTGCCAACCCAATAGATATAGTGTAAAATATAGCTGGATTTCTTTGATTTTCAAATGCAGATATAAAAATTGTAACGATTTTGTTTTCGTAAAAATATGTACGGTTATTTTCCACGGGTTCGAATTCGCATGAAAGTTTTCTTAAATGTTTGCAACATCATCTTTTTACCTGGTTAACTCTCCGACTTTGGTAGGAATTAACTGAGGAAGTTTTTTTATTATCTCCGGCGCAGATTCCTCTGTGTCCGTGTCGAACAAGGGAGTTTCCTAAAAAAAAAAAAAAGAATTAAATTGAAAAATTATACGTATTTATAGAAAAATCGAAATTTATGAAAAGTGATTTTTCTGTAGGTACCTTGGGAGATAAGAGATCCTCTTCCGAACCACTCTGCCCTGTAGTAAGAGACGTCGCAACGATCGAGGATGCGATCTCCGAATCTGGTACGTACTCGTATGCTACGAAGGGAAAAATATTATTATAAAAATCGGATTATAGTTTTCTGAAATGTACATTTCATAAAACATTTCATAAAACATTTCATCTTGATTTTTCATATTTTTGTAATGCTATCTTTAATATCAAACTTAAATAGTATTATTTTTATTAATTTATATTATTTCTTTTTATATCATTATATTTGATATTATTTTACAATCTGCTGTGCAAAATTTTCTCACCACACGTTCCGTACCAAATTTAAATAAATGCCATTTGTTCAACCATAACAATTCAATATACAGGGTGGTTGGTAACTGGTGGTACAAGCGGAAAGGGGCTGATTCTACGCGAAAAAAGAAATCGAAAATATAGCGAAAATTTAAAGTCGATTTTCTCGAAAACAAAGCCTCAAACGAAAAATTTTTATTCTATATTTTCGACTTCTTTTTCCGCGTAGAATCATCCCCTTTCACCACCAGTTACCAACTACCCTGTATAATAAAGGCTCTTCAGCCGTAATTTTATTATTCGACACATAAACTATTATCAAATTCTTTCAAATTGTCACTTCTAGTATTACCATTAAGTTTATATTTCTACGTATTAATTTGTCTGTACAAAACTGTCTCATAAATTTCCCCTAAATTTTCTCAAAATCTTATTTATCATCTCGAATTTAATCATCTCTATTATTATTTACAAACAACAATAATTAAATACACGATAAAATTCATTACCTTCCACGATAAGCGACGTCATGCAAACGGCCTCGCCAACAGGATTCACGGCACGACAAGTGTATTCTCCGGCATCTTCAGGGAATACTTCGGTTATGGCCAAACTGCACACACCTTCCGTGTCTTGTATAATAGTAATCTCTTTGCCCTCTTTGATAGGTTTGTTGTCGTGGTACCATTCCACTTTAGGCGTAGGTTTCCCATGGACGATGCACGTCAGGTTTGCGCTTTCACCGTCCATGACCCTGACCGGTGACAATCGTTTAACAAACGTCGGTGAAACAAGCTCAACGGTTTCTTCCCACGGTGTCTCCAACACATTTATCGTCGCCGTACAGGTGACTGATCCGCCAACGTTTTCGGCGCGACAGGTGTACGTGCCCGCCAACTCGGGCTTGATCTCCTTGATCATGAGGATCGATCTGTTCTCTTGCGTCACAATCCTTACCTGTGGCGTGGACTGCAATAGAAATTCACAAATTATTATCTTCGTAATTCTCAAGAGTCTCTGGTATTGTTAATTTCCAGTGTAGATATTTTAAATCTTTAAACACAAATTGTTTATTATTTGCGATGTTCGAGGGTTTCTCCTATGATTAACTTTTGACGAGGATATTTTAGAATTCTAAATGCAAATTGTCCTTTATTCGCTGACTTTTAATGATTTCTGTTCGATTTTCGATGCAAACATTTTTCTGAGGATTCCAAGTGCAAATTGTCTTTTATTTGTGATTTTCAAACGTTCTTGTCTTAACTTTAAGTGCAAACGTTTGGAATTCTTGATAGAAATCATCGTATATTTGTAATTTTTTAGAATTTTCGTTATAGATAAGTAGTTTCCAGCGTATGTATTCTGAATTTTTGGTACAAGTGTCTCGTTATTTAATGAGAGATGTAGTTAGCTGTTACTAAGATTCTCAGAATGATACGAAAGTCTCGGAGAGAAGTCAAAGGATGTGGAAAATGAATTTGAAAATATAAGCAGAGAAACAAGTGTGTAAATGTTAAAGAATACAAACGCAGAAAAAAATATAAGGAGAAACAGGAAAATGGATAAATACGAAAGTAGAAAGCTGAAGTACCTCCAGAGGACGAGTTTCGTGGAACCACTGGAAGGAGGCTGCCGGATAGGATTCAACACGTGTTTCCATGATCACGACCTCTCCTTCGGCGACAATCTGTGGTTGTAGCGGCTCGATAAACCTCGGAGCTTTCACTTCGTCTGTCTTGTCCTCGCGTTCTTTCACCGTAACAGAGCCCGAACTTCTCGCCTCTCCAACAGGATTTTGAACTCTAACCTCGTATTTCCCGCCATCTTTCTTCGTCACCTCAGGAATATATAATTCAGTGGTAGTTTCATAAATATTTATCACCCGTTTGTCAGATGGGACAATTTCAGTTCCATTGCGGAACCATTTCACTTTTGGCGTTGGTTTGCTCTCGAAATCGGCTGACAAAGTTAGAGGTTTTCCAAGTTCGGCTACCAAGGCTGGTAAAGGCCTGGTGATCTTTGGTGCTCTTAGAACTTCCGGTTTAGTGACCCTCACCGCGGTACCGATCACCAAATTAGCTCTGCATTCGGCTCGACCGAATTTATTCACAGCTCGAACGCGATAAATCGTCTCGTCCTCTTTCATTGGCTCCAATATATGCAATTTTGCTTCACCGGTTTCAGGATTGAAGGTGATTTCTCTACCCTTTTGAGGTTTCAGTTCTTGCTCTCCGCGATACCATTTTACTTCCGGCACCGGTGTTCCAGTGACCACACATTCAAGTAGAGCTGGTTTGTGCTCTTCCACCATGAGAGGCTTAATAGGTGTTGCGAAGTGTGGCGCTACGCCTTCTTCCTCTTTTTCTGTGAAATAGAACGTCGTATGAGTTTATGGTAATTGTAAAGTGGAACGATCACGCGACGATACTGTAAAACTTCATGCAAAACACATCTGCATAATAGCGTAGATTGTACGCAACGAGCATAGAATTTTAATTTCGTTAAAATACTCGGATGTATATAATTATAATTATCATTATTTTCATTAATAATTGAAATATTCAAGAATAATTATTAATAAAAATAACGGCTTTTTTTGAACGTAAAGCGAGCAGACTTGCCGATCGCTAAAATTAAATAAAAAAGCAAACAGTAAAATTTCTGAAACTTAAAATAAAAAACTTTTAAAAATTTGTATATATATTCTTATAGGTTATATGTAATTTATAAAAAATTGCTTCCCTTTCAATTAAGTGTATCTACATTACCCTATAGAAATAAGAAAAACACACAGTAACAACAAAGAAACACAGGTAGAAAGCATCGTTCACACGTTTGCCAAGAAATTTCATAAATCCATAGAGTCGTAAGCCATTTGTAAAAACTCGTTAATTCCATAAGCCATAAAAAATTGAAGGAAAACGATCACACAGACGTCACAACACACAGATCTAGTACCGAATATCACGAGATTCACGGTGGACGTGGCTACTCCAGCGGGATTTGACGCTCTGCAAGAATACATGCCGGCATCCTCCTCTTTCACCTTAGTTATCTCCAACGAGGCTGTCGTTTCGTAGATGGTCATTATATACTTCTCACTGGCGTGAAGCTCCTGCTCGTTTCTGTACCAGGTAATTTCGGGGAATGGACTGCCGAACACTGTACATGTGAATTCTGCGGTTGTTTCTGGTTGCGCGATAACGGGTTGTAGCTTCTGAATGAACCTCGGAGCGATCTTTTTGTCTTTGTCCGTGATGGATATTTCTACTTGCGTACGCTGCTTGCGTCTGCTCTTACGATCCTCCACTTTTTCTTCTTTTATCTCTGTTTCGACCTCGACTACATCTTTCGTGACCACATCTTTTACTTTTTCCTCCACTCTAACCTCTTCTACGGTAACAGTTTCATCGATCACTTCTGCCTTTTCTATAGGAACAGGTACAGGTACCTCTTCTGGTTTCTTTTTAGGTTTCCTCCATGGTATTTTAGCCACTGTTTCTTCCTTCTCTTCTATCTCTTTTGGTTTCTCTAATTTCACTGGTTTCAATTCTGGTATTTTTTCTTCCTTAGGTTTCTCTTCGGGTTTCTCCTTTTTGATAGGTTTCAGAGTTACCTCTTCGGGTATTTCCTTTTCCTGTGGCTTCTTGGGTATTGGTCTAAGACGAACCTCATCTTTCTCTTCTACTACTTCTACCTTTTCTTTCTTGACTGGTTTAAGAACCACTTCCTCTACTTTTTCAATGAATTCTTCGTGTTTCTCGACTGGTTTCAATTCGACTACTTCCTTCTCTTCTTCCGGTTTCTTTGGACGTCGTTTCTTTATCCTAGAGACTTCTGTTTCAACGATCTCTTCGATTACTGTATCTTCTTTGTGTACCACTTCAGGTTTGATCTCTACAATTTCGACCTTTTCTTCGACGACTTCTTTCACCATTTCTTTCTTCGGTGCCCTCCACGGAATTACGGGCGCTTCTACAGGTTTATGTTCTTCGATCTCTTTAACCACCACTTGGGTCATCTCTTTAGCTTCCACTTTCTGTTCCACGACCGTTGTTTCCTCCGAGACCACTTTCTCTTGATCGATCGGTACGACTGTGACTTCTTCTCGGAAATCGACGACCTTCTTCGCCTTTTTGCCAACGCGCCATGGTAATATGGATTCAGGTTTTTCCTCTTCTTTAGGTTTCTCTTCGACTTTTTCAGGGACTGGCTTCGGAACCGGTTTTAATTTCACTTCCTCCGGTTTCTCCTCTTCTGGTTTCTCGATAGGTTTGCGTGGTTTCAGTTTAACTTCTGGCTTCTTTTCTTCTTCCGGCTTCTCTTTTTCTATAGGTTTCAAAGTAACTTCTTCTGGTTTCTTCTCATCCTTCGGAAGACGCTTGACGGGCTTTAAAGTAACTTCTTCTGGCTTCTCCTCTACTTCCTTGGGAAGTCGCTTAACAGGTTTTAACGTAACTTCTGGTTTTTCCTCCTCTAGTTTCTCCTTCTTAATTGGTTTCAAAGTAACTTCTTCCTTCTCCACTTCTTCCTTAGGAAGACGTTTAACTGGCTTCAATGTTATCTCTTCAGGCTTTTCTTCTTCTGGTTTCTTCAAATGCTTGATGGCTTCTCTTCTACTTCCTTGGGAAGTCGCTTAACAGGTTTTAGTGTAACTTCTGGCTTTTCTTCTTCAGGTTTCTCTTTCTTAATTGGTTTCAGAGTAACTTCTTCCTTCTCCACTTCTTCCTTGGGAAGACGCTTGACAGGTTTCAATGTCACTTCTTCCGGTTTTTCCTCCTCTTGCTTGGGAAGTCGCTTAACAGGTTTTAACGTAACTTCTGGTTTTTCTTCTTCTGGTTTCTCTTTCTGAATTGGTTTTAAAGTAACTTCTTCCTTCTCCACCTCTTCCTTAGGAAGACGTTTAACTGGCTTCAATATTATCTCTTCAGGTTTTTCTTCTTCTGGTTTCTTCAAATGCTTGGCAGGTTTCAATTTAACTTCAGGTTTTTCCTCCTCTGGTTTCTCTTTCTTAATTGGTTTCAGAGTAACTTCTTCCTTCTCC